TCATGCCTGGTTCACAAATGGGGCAGCATGATAGGCTGTTACTAACCAGAAATAAGGAGCTGCACTGTGGCCTTCCTCAGAGCTGGTTCTGAAGGACAATGATGAAGGGAAATTCTCACGGTGGGCAGAGATGGGAGTGTACCTCTGGTCATCCACTGTACATAGAAAGACAAGTGGCTCAAGGTATGGACATTCTCAGAGACTCCTGGGCAGGGGCCTGGAAGGAGCAAGGCTGGAAAACCAGAGACAAGGCTATCTGGATGGAGGCATGTGAGTGGGCACAGAGCATGCAGCTCTTTAAGTCTCTGTGTTATGTTCACTCAGAGAAGCTCTTCCACAAGATAGGCCTGCAGTTATCAAGTGGACAGGCTGCCTTTCCCTGTGGGTATTGGCCAGCTTCCCTCTGTTAGCCACACCAGTGGGAATGGAGGAAACATAAGGGGCTGACAGTTCCAAGAACCATTTCAGAAGTCTGCGATGGAGCACCAGTTGCCCACAGCAGGGCCAACTCAATGATGGATCCTTTTACTGACTTTTCTTCTGTTCCCATTTCCCTCCTCCACCTTCCTCAGTCTGTTCCCTGGGATGACATTCTCAAATAACCTATCAGCTAACGAGTCCCTTTCCCAGGCTCTATTTGTCACAGAGGAGGACAGCTAAGGTACTACCCTATTCAAAATTGTAACTCGTTTCTGACACTCCTAACTCCTTTTACACAGCTCTATTTCTTTTGTCCATATAAATTATGTCTAATGTTTGTTACATCTCTCTCACACTAAAATGTAAGCTCTACAAGAGTGAGAATATTGGTTGGTCATGGTAGCTCATGCTGTAATCATAGCACTCTGGAAGGTTGATGCTGGTGGATTGCTTGAACTCAGAGGTTCAAGACCAGCCTGAGCAAGAACAAGACCTTGTCTCTACTAAAAATAGAAAAATAAGTCAAGTGTGGTGGTAGTCACCTGTACTCCCAGTTACTGGTGAAGCTGAGGCAAGAGAATCAACTGAGCCCAACAGTCTGAGGTTGCTATGAGCTATGACTGTATAGCACTCTACCCAGGGCAACACAGCGAAAGTCTGTCTTTAAAAAAGAGGGGGTGAGGAGCAAGATGGCAGCTGAATAACAGCTTCCTTGCAACTGGGCATGGTGAGACTGGGAAAAGAAGACTCCAGGCACCTCTGGCTGGTGGGATCTGCCCAAAACATCCCTTTGGGTGGCTTGGGGCCTGTGGCTCAAGTAGCTAAGGTGCCAACCACATACACTGAGCTGGTGGTTTCAAATCCAGCCTGGGCCCACCAAACAACAATGATGACTGCAACCAAAAAATAGCTGAGTGTTGTGGCAAGTGCCTATAGTTCCAGCTACTTGGGAGATGGAGGCAAGAGAATCACTTGAACCCAGGAGTTAGGGGTTGCTGTGAGCTGTGATGCCACAGCACTCTACCCAGGGTGACAGCTTGAGGCTCTGTCTCAAAAAACCCCAAAAATCCCTTTGGGGACACAGGGGTCAGTGAGAGACTTCTGGACCCCATGAGGAGGACAAAAGCAGTGGGGGAACTGGCAAGTGGTTGTAGTGTTCATTTGGTTTAATCTCACCAGCAGCTGACTCATTGAAACCCTAGTCCAGAGGCATGGTAACTTAAAGAGCAAGAGGAAGTGAAAGGAAAATTAGGGCAAGGAAACAGATAAAAGAAAATACTTGTGAGGAAGAATCAGCAGAAAAATCCTGGCAACAAGAAAAACCAGTCCAGAGCAACACCCCCAAGGGACCATGAGGGAGCTACTGCAGAGGATTTCACCTATAAAGAAATGTTAGAAATGACAGAAAGGGAATTTAGAATACAGATGATGAAAACAATGATGGAAATGATGGAAACAATGAAAGAAACTGCTGATAAAGTGGAAAATAACCAAAAGCAAATCCAAAAACAGAATCAAATAAGAGATGAACAATATGAAGAATATAGAAAGGATATAGCAGAGCTGAAGGAACTGAAGCAGTCAATTAGGGAACTTAAAGATGCAATAGAAAGTATCAACAACAGATTAGACCATGCAAAAGAAAGAATCTCAGAGGTAGAGGACAAAGCTCTTGAGATAACTCAGATAGTTAAAGAGGCAGAAAAGAAGAGAGAGAAAGTAGAACGTTCACTGATGGAATTATGGGACTTTATGAAGTGTTTAAAAATATGGGTTATAGGTATCCCAGAAGGGGAAGAAGAATGCTCTAGAGGAATGGAAGCCATACTAGAGAATATTATAAATGAAAATTACCCAAATATCATCAAAGATTCTGACACACTCCTTTCAGAGGGATATCGGACCCCAGGTCACCTCTGCTCTAAAGGAGCTTCTCCAAGACACATTGTGATGAACCTGTCAAAGTTAAGACAAGAGAAAAGATTCTTCAAGCTGCCAGGAGTAAGTGCCAGTTGACCTACCTGGGCAAATCCATCAGGGTGACTGCAGACTTCTCTAATGAAACTTTTCACAGTTTTTTTTTGGCCGGGGCTGGGTTTGAACCCGCCACCTCCAGTATATGGGGCCAGGACTCTACTCCTTTAAGCCACAGGTGCCACCCTCTAATGAAAATTTTCAAGCAAGAAGACAATGGTCATCTACCTTTAGTCTACTTCAACAGAACAATTTCCAGCCCAGAATTCTATATCCTGCTAAGCTAAGCTTTAAAATTGACAGAGAAATCAAATCATTTACTGATACACAAACATTGAGGAAATTCACCACAACAAGACCAGCTCTACAGGACATACTTCAACCTGTTCTACACACTGACCATCACAAGGGATCAACAGCAAAGGAAGAACGCAGAAATTAAAGGACAGAACCTAACTTCCACAATGATGCAAAAGATAAAACTAAGCAACGGACTCTCACAAATAAGATGAATAGAACACAACCACACTTATCAATTATCTCAGTAAATGTTAATGGCTTGAATTCCCCACTGAAGAGGCATAGATTGGCTGACTGGATTCAAAAACACAAGCCATCCATTTGCTGTCTGCAGGAAACACACCTAGCTTCAAAAGACAATAGTATTGTTGTTTTTTGCCACGAAAGTACCATGAACTCCCCCTCCAGACCCATTTGTGGCCGACTCATGGGGAGGGGCCTCCAGGCTTCATGATCCTTTTGCTTCCACTCAGAGTCACAGCTGAGCCGGCACGGTCTGCGTCGGCTCCTTTGAGAAGTTTTTCTCTCCAAGTTCCCACCTCATTTTAGTGCCCTTTGTTTTAGGTGGGGGTTTCTGGTTTTGTTTTCCACTTTTCTCAGCTCTAGTTTTGTCCAGGCTCATTAAACTCACGTTCTCGGGCCACCTGGACCCATGGCTGCCTTGGGGCAACTGCCATTTCTGCTCCTAATGACCTCTTTGGATTTGTGCATCATGGTCGTTTTTGACCTCTGATTATTTCCCTTCATCTCTTGCCATCTCACCCATATGTTTTTAAAGATGAATTAAATTTTTTTTGTATGTGTGCTTTGTGTCAGGAGAGTTTTTCAGCTTAGGCCACCTACTGTACTGTCAGGAATGGAAGACTAGCCATCCTTCTCAGCCCATTGCAAACATGTTTCTCTTAGGACCAGAAGACCTCAAATTGTGTGTGTCTTACTCCGGCCTGTGGTTTGGTCACTCATGTTTGTGAAGTATATGCTCCTTCAGGGCAGAAGTGTGGTTTCTTCCCCTCACCTTCCACAGAGTATCCCCCACTTCCTGGCCCAAGAGATCCACAAGCCCAAGTCTCTGTAAATGATGGGGGAGCTGAGGCAGCTGTCTGCACTGGTCTGTGTTGCTAGGGACTGTCCACAAGGGGGCAGCCACAGCAGCTGCCAGGGCCGGGGGGTAGGGCTTGCACTGGAGGGCCAGGGCTCCCTGTGGGCTCCTAAACCTGCCAGGCCTAAAGAAGAAGTCTTCCCTATCCCACAGATGGGGAAATGAAGGTGCGCAATGATGCATGAGGGCCAGGAGGGGTGAACCTGAGATGGTGCCACGTGGGGCAGGGCCAGTATTTGAAACCAGTTCCCTTCTGGGCTCAATGACTTCAAGGTTCTGCTTGGACAACCAATTATCTATTCCTGTCTTCATTCAACAAACACTTATTCAGCATCTACTGTCTGCTCCACAGGGGGTGCAGTGGTGAATTAGACACACCTGGTCCCTTTCTCCTTCCTATGGCATCAGCTCCATGATACCTGACTGTAAAGTCAGCCTTTTTGCCTTCAATTCTTGGGTTCCCTCCCATCAGCTCTTTGCTTCTGTGATTTCTTCTGGCCCTGAGGCCTCCTTCATCCTCGTAGGCCATCCTCTGCCTGATTCCCACAGAGGAATGCCCAGCCTGGCACCCAGGGGTGGGGAAAGCTGGACCTTCTGGTGCCATTTCAGGGGGCCTTGGTTTCCATCTGTGTAGAAGGATGTGTGGGACAGCCACCTCACAGACCTTTCCTAGCTTCTATTTCTTAGAGGGGAGCCTAAGTCTCATGTCTCTCAAAAGTGGACCAAGATTATACCCTCCTTCTTCCCATTGCTCCCAAGGTCAAGGTAAGCCTTGGATATGATCCTATGAAGCAGGATTCCGTGGACTAGGACAGACAAATGGGTCAGTCATGCACTCTCCCACCATGTATGGAAGAAGCATCTACTACCACTTCTCCCTTTTGGCTCCAGAAGTGAGGCATGGCCCCTCCACTTCCCTTTTCCAAGTATGTGGGTGTGGGTATGTGTGCATGTCCATGTCTGGCTCCGTGACTCTCAGGTTCAGCAGGCTTGGTGGGCTCCCAGCAGAGGCAGCTGGGCTCTACTCCCCAGTCCCTGTGACACCAGCCCAGCTTCCTGGAGACCAAAACCACAAGCAGAACAAGGAGGCGTGAGAGATACTCACAGGCTGGGTTTGGTCGCATGCGTGTAAGAGTGAGTGACAGAGAGAAAGGCACAGGCAGGAACAGAGAAAGGCAGAGCAGGCGGGCAAGAGGGGCACTCAGTGGCCGTGTCCGCCGCTGGCCCTAGGATGGTACTTCCTACTGGCTGGCACGCGTAGCAGCCAGAGATGGCCCCAGACATGTGGCTGTTCCTGGTGACCGCTGGATCGCTGATGGCAGCCCTCACAGGTAGGTCCCCTTCCCTCACCTCCTACACTCATGCTGGAGTATCTGTGTCCTGGTCTCCTGATCCCTTTTCTGGTTGTTTTCTCATGGTCACCTTTTTGGAGCCTGTTAGTCAAGACTATACTCAGGTCCCAGGGAGCCTCCGGAGCTGTGACAATGCTCCAGTCCTGAGAGGCCCCCTGGGAGTGAGATGACGCAGGCAGCATGCTTCATGTCTCATCACCGGGTCCCCAGGGGCTGGGGAGAAAGGTGCACCTTCCATGCTTAGGCTCAACAACTTCTCTTTCTATTTCTTGCCAACTCTAAGGAAGGAGCCGCACACCTTCTAGAGAGGCAGGGCCACTGATGATTGTATTTTCAACGCCAAGCTCAAGGGGCCTGTCGCTCACAGGCAGGCAGTCCCAGAAACAGAACCCAGGGAAGCCAAGATGGCTTTGGCACAACCAGCTGGGATAGTTTCGGGCACAAATGAGCAGGAAGGCCGATCAGGGCCACCCTGTCCCATCCTGAACTGCCCCCGAGTGCTGAGACACTCTCACCACATGGGCCAGGGGATCAAGTGGCCAGAAAGCTTGGGGTGCTGGGCTGTGCACCCCAGATACTTGCTGGTTTGGCTGAGCAGGAGTCCAAGCTGGCAGGAGCTGAGCAGGGTCTAGAGATGCAAGAGCTTCCTGCTCTTGTTGTGCTCTCACATTTTTAGGGAGTGGGGGACCTAATACGGAACCAGGTTTTTGGGCAGTTCACCCTGCAGTGGGGTAGCCAAGGCCTTTCAGTTTGGGTGACGGAGACTCAGGAAGACACAGTGAGGGGGGCTAAGAGGACTGGGTATATGTGGAGAGCCTTAAGTGATCTCCTTCTCTCCTCCCTCTGTGGGCACCAGCCCCCTTGCCTCACGGGTTCAGGGAAGCCAGCTGGCTCTGTGTACCTTCAGCCCTGTGTTTGTGTGTGGTGGGGGGAGGGGATCGTCTCAGCCTTGCCCTCGCACTCTCAAAGCAGCACCTCCGGGAGCTCAGCTGCCTTCTGCTCCTGTGCTGAGACAGGGAGAGCACCTAGACTGTCCCTCCCTTCTCACCTCCATCTTGGCCATCCTCTCTGCCCTTCCCCAGGAGGTGCAGTTACAGAATCAGGAGTAAGCTAGATCCAAAAGGTGGTCTCTCCCACTCAGGGCTTCAGACCAGCTCCTCCAGCAGCCAGAAGGCAGAATAGGCCTTGAACAGCACCATTGTCAAGCTCATGTTTTTGAAACAGTGTGGATATTCAGTTGACTCACTTGTTGTTACTAGTAGGAGTTCAGTTTTGAAAGGAAACTTTACGTCACTGTTGTAAATGGAAAACCAATATCATTTGTCACAAATAAATTTTAAAAAAGGTAAAGGGAAACACACAAAATAGTGGTAGCAAAACCCAATTTCTATTATACTCTAGCGAAAAGCCCAGAGCACCCCTCTGTTAGAGGCGGGACCGGGGAGGCAACACAGACCCCCGGCTCCAGCAGTCATTCATTCTCTTGTCAACTTTGCTGAAGGACAGGGAACACTGTGAGCAAAGGGTTGTCTCCTCACAGTGTGACTTAATGGCAGGGATCCTCAAACTTTTTAAACGGGGGGCCAGTTCACTGTCCCTCAGGCCCTTGGAGGGCCGGACTGTGGCCCCCGGGATGAGTCGGCTGCTAAGCAGGACAGGCAGGAGCGGCAAAAACACCCGGTGGGCTAGATAAATGTCCTAGGCGGGCCGCATGTGGCCCAGTTGGAGCCGTAGTTAGAGGACACTTGCTTAATGGTATCAGATGTGACATGTGTAAGCTCTCTTAAGCGCCAGTGACATGTGTCCTACTGTTGAGACATATGGCCTAGGAGGAAGGGCTCTCCAGGTAGAAGGAAGACTGTACACAGAGGTGCCCCCGGCCTCCCCTGGGACTGATATGAGAGACGTGGAGTCGCTGCCCGGGACCTGCCTGAGCTTCTCTTGCTCCCCACTCTGGGGCGGGGGGGGCAGGGCCACAACCCCAGCAGGACCTGGCCCTCAGAGGGCAAGGGTGACCCAATCTGCTTATGAGTGGGGCATCTGTGTTGGGAACCATACTGGGGAGAAGGGATTTGGGCCTCCCAGAAGAAAAGGAAAGGAAAGTAAGAAAAATGATGGCAAAGAGGGAAGCCGGAGAAGGAGGCTCAGGAAGGAGTTCTAGGCCTTTATCCCAAGAGCTGAGTCCAGGATGGGGGCACCTGCTTCTGCCCTGGGGAGCGAGTCTGGCTCCAGCAGCCAGAAGAGGAAACCAGACCTTCCCTCTCCTGCTCCCCTTCCCAGTCACAGCACTGCCCTCTGTCCCGAGCCCCACGCAGCCATTTCTCTGCCCTGGCATCCTGGGTTCTGGGATGGCCTCTCAGTGGGCCTTGGTTTGTGTTGTTAAATGACCAGGGCTTTAGAGGTCCAGGCCCTCCAGTATGCCACTGGTGCCCCCCAGAGGCCTGCAATTCTCTGCCTTAGTTTCCTAATCACCCAACTAGGGATGAAGGGGCAGAGGGAATGAACTGGAAGTCCTGGACTGGAGAGGTTGGAGTGGTGTCAGGAGACCCCAGATTTTGCCCTAGTTCTGCCCCTAATTCACTGTGTGGCTGTGCCTCTTTTCTTCTCTGACCTTGGTTTTCCCATCAGTGGAATGGGGATACTTTGGGCAGACAGTATGTAACGGTTTGTCCAGATCTGACAGTACGATGCAGTAACAAAGAACCGGGCATTTCCCGCCAAGGCAGTGCCCAGGTCTGTGACTCTAACTCCGTCTGTGCCATGGGTGGTGAAGTCCTCAAGGGCTGCTTTTATGACTGAAAAAGCTGTTTGTGGTTACTTTAAAAATACTATTTAATTTTTTAAATTAACAAATTTTAAAGATCTGGTTTTGCCTTAACTTGTTCAACATACAAAGCATATTTTATTTATAAGGCCAGTAATTTTTAACAATAACTTTCAAGGAGCCTTTGATTAATATTTGAGCAAACCAAGTTGAATAGAGCAAGCGCCCTTAAATAATAAATACCATCTACAAATGTAGTTAATTAAAGTCCCTTAGCTTTGTGCTGTCCAATACGATAGCCCCCAGAAACATGCATTTAAAATGTGGCCGTTGGAATAGAAAGGTATAAAGTTTTCATTATACAACAGGTTTTGAAGATGAGTTCAAAAAAGAATGTAAAATATCCCATTACTAAATTTTATGTGAATTGCATGTTGAAATGATTATATTTTGGATATGTTGGGTTGAACACATTTTACTATTATAATTAAGTCTACTTATATTTTTTTACTTTTAAAAAATGAAGCTTTCTGGGTATGGTGTATATATATATATTTTCTGGCTACTTGGGAGGCTGAGGTAGAACGATCTCACAGGAGTTTGAGTCCAGATTTTTTTTAAAAAATGGGGCTCCTGGAAATTTTTCAGTATATAGGTAGCTTGTACTATACTTATATTAGATAGCACTGCCTTTGATAGTATAAGCTGCATTTATGAATATAATGAATTTCATTTTTTTATGGAATAAGAAGCAAAATGATTCCAAGGATTTCAGAAAATGCTTTCAGATCTGAAAAACTAGCAGAAGCAAAATGAATATTAAGTCTTTTTAAGTATTCTAATAATGTTTATAGATACAGTCAAATTCTATTAAATTTTCACCTTAAAATTTGAACTAAAGTCAATTAGTTGATCACATTCAAAAGAAACTCAATGGTCCAATGTTCTTAAATAGTACCCATACAGAACTTTCTGCACTAACACACAGACTTGACCTACATTACACTTAACACAAATGTGTAAACACTGGGGATGTTGGTTTATTTTATTTTATTTATTTAGTTTGAGATAGAGTCTCACTTTTGTCACCCTTCGTAGAGTGCTGTGGCGTCATAGCTTACAGCAACCTCCAACTCTTGGGCGTAAGTGATTCTCTTGCCTCAGCCTCACAAGCAGCTGAGACTCTAGGTGCCACCCACAATGCCCGGCTATTTTTTGTTTTTTTTTGGGTGGGGAGATGGGGTCTCGCTCTTGCTCAGGCTCGTCTCAGATCTGTGAGCTCAGGGCAATCTACCTGCCTCGGCCTCCCAGAGTACTAGGATTACAGGTGTGAGCCACTGTGCCTGGCATCCTATTTTATCATCTTTATTTTTTAAATTCTAATCTTCCCGAGTTAAAATTATTTACTAAGGAGAAAACAACTGTGCCATTAAAGGTAACTTGGGTTGCACTTTGGGAGGCCGAAGCAGATGGATTGCTTGAGCTCAGGAGTTCAAGATCAGCCTGAGCAAGAGCAAGACCCCATCTCTACTAAAAGTAGAAAAACTAGCTGGGCATCATGGCAGGTGCCTATAGTCCCAGCTACTCTGGAGACTGAGGCAAGAAGATCTCCTGAGTCCAAAAGTTTGAGGTTGCTGTTAGCTATGACGCCATAGTACACTCTAGCCAGGGCAACCGAGAGAATCTGTCTCCCAAAAAATAAAAGATAACTTGGGTTATATCAAGCAGGTTGAAATTTTCCATTTTAGGGGATTGCATTAAGGTTGGCTTTTTTGTTATTTCACCATAACATAAGATACGGTTCTCCTGTGCCACTGTTGAATGTGCTATGCCTCTTTTGATGGCCTGAGCCCTCCAGTTGGGCTGGTCCCATGACTCAAGATCTTTGGATCCATGTTACGCAAACCTAATACCTTATACCTCCTTCCCCCTTGCGACAGCTTCACCTCTTGATTGGATTAAATTAAACACAAGCTTGCTTTTCTATTCTGAATTCTTTTTGCATTCTTCTTGCCTGGCCAGACTACACCTCACAGATACACACGTAAACACAATGTATGACAGGAGTCTGCATATTTCTTCCGGCTTCGCATGGCTCGCTGGCCACGGGTCAATGACTGATGAGGACGTTAGCATGGCCGTCACCACAGTGGGGGCATGGAGTGGAATGGCTCCTCCAGAGCTGGGCCTGGCACTTTTAGCTGAACATAGGTGT